GGGGGGGGGGGGGGGTGTCAATAGCACAACAACAACAGGAGTGTGAATAAGGGATGCAAACAAATCCATAGAAGTAATATATGAAGACTGAATCATCTCTCACCCTGTCAATCATCAGAAGCTGTCTCATTCTTTAATTCCACATATATTAGGTTTAAGTACCTGTAGTATTTCACACAACTGTAGTTAATGAAATTTTAGTGCTCATTCCCAAATCACAATAAATTAGCCAAACTATAATGAAAAACATGGTCTTTGAACAAAGAAATTTAACTTTAAACCAAAGGATGCTAAAATTGAGCAAATGACCAATCTATTCCTTAGTTTTCTATAAATGTAAGTAAAAATAATTAAATCTAAGAATTGGCATTAGAAATAGCATTTCTAACAAAGTATAATATATACATATGAAAAAAGGGATAACTTATCTCTAAAAATTATAAAATCTGAGTTGCAAATATAAGAAAACTTCAATAATAAAAAAGAAATAGCATTTCCAAAGTGGATGGCACATGGAAAAAAACATTTCAAATTTGAAATAATAATAATAATATGGCAGCATATAGATGCTTCCAGAATGGAAATACAAACTTGAGAGAGGGAGAGCACATAGAACTTTCACTTTCACCACACAGCACAAAAAGAGGTAAAAGACAACAGTCTATGAACAGGGTGGAGGCTGCACGGCTCAGTGGCAGGGAGTAGGCCTTGCAATGGAAGGCCCAGGCCTTGCTTCCCCAGCAACACAAAAGAGAAAGAAAACAGAAATGTTGGACATGAATCACACAAGAAAAGTTAGAAACTGGCAAAAAACAAAAAACAACAACAATAAAACAGGCTCAAATATATGTTTATAACTCTGTTGCTAAAAAATACATATATATTTCCCCCCATGGACTCAATCTTAAGTGAACTTACAATGGCCATCCAAAACATAAGTGTGATATACCTCAACAATATAGTAGAAAAAACCTGATACATCACCAAATGGTGCACCCATACACACACACACACACACACACACACACACACACACCTGAATACTGTGTAATTGATTCTGGAAGGCAACTGAAGGAAAGGGTTTCACTGGAGGTCATTGAGTGATTTGGAAGGGTTCTCTGAGAAATTCCTTAAGTCTTGCAAAGCTGATAACCCAACTTCTTTACTGTGTTTCATTTCACTACAAGCTTCTATTTAATATCCACAATTACAAACATGTACTTCACAAATGAGAGAGAACACGGGAAGAATTAGAAGAAACATAGGGAAGAGGAAGAAATCATCAAGGACCCACCCAAGACTGAAGGAAAGAGATTTGGATGGAATTCAGAGGACCTCAGTAAGAGAGGACACTGAAGACCAGCTTCCAAATACTGAGGAGCTGAGTGACTATGGTTAAGTGGTTTGCTGAGAAACCACAGGTTGTAAACAATGATGGGCAGGAGTAAGGGCTAAGCATCCATGCCACTGTGTCACCAAAGGAAGTGCTCTTGAGTGGAGGATGTGCAACTCATAGCATGGCACAGGCATGTAATTCTAGATTGATTATCCTCTAAGCTCTTCTTGTTTTCCAAAATCCCTCTAAATATTGCAATAATAATATTAGATATTGTCTATTACAAAATAATATTATCACAGATGGTTGGATAGGTAGTAATATCTAAACTATAACTAAAAAGCCATTTTGAGTTTGAAAGTATATAAATAAAACTAAGCTACTTTAGGAAAGTCTCAGAAGCCAGTGTTTCTTGAGGAACGGGGGATACCAATGATTTAACACATAGATAACAGCATTATGTAACCTACCAAGTCTTAATGTGAAATTAGTACTGAAAAGCTTCTGAACATGTTGGCAACTTTGAAGAAGCAATCAATAAGAGATGTTGTCAACAGATAAAATATTATCTTATATACACTGGTCTTAAATCTCAGGCAGTTTTCCAAAACAAATAAACAACAAAGAACACTTAACAATAAGAAAAAACAAAATAATTTAGCTATAACCAACAGAAATGAGACACAATAAGCCAAAAACCTTTTCCAGTCACAGAAGAAGTCTCCATGTAGGCAACTGGAAGCTCAGGAAGAACACGAGACTGAAGACTCTATGCTAGTTTGTCCTATTTGCAAGAATATATTAATGCCATGATCACTTTGGACCAATGTTTCTGCATATCATGCCTATATAAACTTTGACAAATCAAATGCTCTCCCATCACAGGCAAAAATTCTAAGTAACAAACCACAGTGAGAAGACAGGGCTACAAAAATATTAGTATGTGGAACGCAGAAACACAGCAATGTCAAGACGCTGTATTAGTAGGTCTTTAAGTACTGCCAGTACCTAAAGTACTGCCAGTGTCTGGTGCCCCTTGCCTATCTACAGCTTTCCGTCAGATATATACAAGTACTGATCTGACTCAAAATTATCATTTTCAGAGCTTTGTTTTCTTTTCTCAGTTTTTCCATTAGCAAACACTTCAAATACAATTGTGTTCATGAGCACAAGAAATATACTTAAAATTTAATATACAACAGCCTTAAAATGTTCTTCAGTTTTCTCTTCACTCCAGTTTAGGATGTCCAGTTCTCGCCTCTCACTTTCTATTATATCTTCCCTAGCAAGGTTATTAAGTTGATATTTAACATTTTAGAAAAGGGTAAAAACTTGAACAAGCCTATCAAGTACATTTTAATTTGAATCATGTGTGTTATGTCTTGCACATTGAAACAGACAACATTCAAATGCTCACATACAAATACACATTGTGCCCAATCTTCAGGACTCTTCAGATAATTACTTGTTTTAATTAGTGATTACATCTTGTGAAAGAGCTAGAGCTAAGATCAAATGATTGCAAATCCTACTTTAATAATAGAATATGGTAATTCAACTGATAAATTCTTCCAGAGCCACAAGTAATCAGAAACTGAAAACTATTAAAATATTATTTGCTCTATGGGAATTACTTATTACATGTTTGCTCAACCGTATCTGCTGAAAGACACAGAAACACTACCAAAGTTAATTTAAGGACTTACCAATTTCCCTTGCAATTCTGACAGCTTCATCTGCATCCTGTAAAGGCAGGAAATGAGACTCAACATTAATCCCATGAGGCATTGCACAATGTCTTTAGGGCAGTCATATATTGCACTACTGTCTCCTCTGATTCATTTAATGTTCAATTTTACAACCTTCTAACCCTTTTCATTCAGAGAAATGTAAAATTAATACCATAAGTAGAATGTAAATTCTCCCTCATCGTTATTATATTAAGAAACTCAAAGCGGTTTGAAATGAGCTGGCAGGAAACATGACCAGAATTGCCAATGATTCGGTGCAGTTGCTGGAATTTAATGGCAGAATTTAGATTTTTACAATCAATACTCCGTCGTAAATCAGATCATTAAAGCTTGTCTGCAGCCTGCTTGTCTATTTACATACTCTGTTTTCCTAGATTCTGTCAGCAGGGGGAGTTGACTGTCTATTGTTTGGGAGGAGCTCCATCGATTTTCTAGAAGTAAGTAAATTTCCAGTACCCGTAGGAATTACCAATTGTTTCTAAAAAGACAAAACCTCTGTGATTTCCATTATCCTTTCTTATTTTTTTACCCTTTTCCTCATGTACATATATTTTATCTTGCAGTTGTAGATAGGTACATAAATTAAAACTTTAAATTAAATGAACAAACTGTAGAGTGAAGGGGGTATGAAAGAGCAAGCTAAGGACTCCTTTCTGAAGTCCAAGGCCAGTGTTTACTGACTCACTTGTCACCAGTGATACTTGAAATCATAAGCATCTAAAAACTGCCCCAGCCTAAGCTGTTCATCTACCATGAACCTGACATGTGCTGTACAAATTCCATGGACACAGTTGTCATGTAACGATAAAGAGAATTCTGAACTTCAAGCCACTTTCTCAATTCAATTACTTTTTGTAATCCAGTAACACAATATGGGCTATCAGCCACGTTCTAAAACCACCAGTTGATAAGTATGCAGAAATTCTTACACAGCTTCAAAACATTAAGTGAAGGCTGGCATTTTTTTTAGGCTTTTAAATTACTACATTTAAAATGAAGAGCAATCATGACAGAATCCTCCCCAAGCTGGGACCGGGAAAATAACTGGTTCATTTATGTCTAGTTTAAAAGAAAAAGAAAAGAAATTCTTCCTTAAAAGTCTTCAGTACCCAACAACATCCCTGAATAAGGAGGCTGGCAGGGGAAGTTGTCAGAAAAATTTAATTTCCTTTCATTAGCCAGTCTGCTCCACAAATAGGTGCTTGTTAAGTTCAAAGCAACCCTGAAAACGACATCAGTTTTAAGTCTTTTTTACTCCAAGAGTCACATCTGCTAATGAGATTTTCCAAATAACAATTGTTTTTAAGTCAGAGATAAATCTCTACCTCACCCCCACCCCCACCCCACCCCACCCCCCAAAAAATCAGGGTTTACTGCCTTCCTACACCTTGCTGCTTACACCAACCCTACATTCTCTAAATTTTTGCTTAGAAGGATAAAAATCCACGAAAGGGTCATTTAAGAATGTTCATGGTTTCCACATACTGAGTTGGGAGGCTCTTTGTTCCAGCCAGTGACAGTTATTGGAGAATACTTGCCTTTAACAGCCTCTAGTCAGGAAGTGTTAAACCTGCCAAATGCGAACAATTAGTGCCTCTTGAACAAAATACAGGAAGAGTGAGGGCTGATGAGGACGGGATTATAATCAGCTACAAGGAAACTTTTAACATTTCAGTCAATGTGGAATAGTGTATTTGCCAAAGATAGTCTCCGAGAAATTAAACTGCAAGCTAAAAAGCTTGGGATCCAAGGAAAGTCAATAGGCAAGGTTAAAGCACAGTACCCAGAATCTATTTCTTCTAGTTTGTCAGGTATTTATATATGTACATGACACACGTGTATGTTATGTTTTACATGTAAAGTGAAACTTCCCAAAATCCCTTATATGGCACAAAACAATCTTAACTTTTCTCTAAGGTATATGTTCAAGTTTACTTATGAAAATCAATTTCTGCAATATGAACTTTCAGATAAAATCAAATTGCCTTAAAAATTAAATTTTCATTTGTCATTCATTGAGCCAGAAAAATCATTGAAGATCTATTATGTACTAGACATAATAAAACATTACCATTGTTTTCAAAAATACTAAATGCAACTCAGTACATTTAGTTATATTATGGGCTACACAAAATTAAATTGGAACAGATAAAATTCTAAATAGCTCCTAAGTCAATGGCACTAACATATGACACCATGGAACTTCCTTACAGGGTTATGGATAGAATAAAGCATTTAATAAAACTTCTGACAGACATCAATCAGTCAGAAAAAACAGATGATTAACTTCAGAAAAAACAACTCTAAAGGGATACATAAAACACACCCACCTCAGCCATCACTCCAGCAGTGGAAATGACACAGGGGGTCCCACTGTGGCTCCAGCAGACTGAAGTGTGACCACAGATATAAGTTTAAGCAGCACTTCACACTGCAATGTCAAAGCAAGCACATAACCTCTGTGCAAAATAGTTGATGGCATTTATCAAACTTTGAAAGCCTATCTCTCTTTATCCACAGATTGTATTTGTAGAAAGTTATCCTATGGATGCCTCCTTCACATGCATGAACAAAAACTTACAAAGAATTTATTATTTTCACTTGTGATATTTTGAGAGGTAAAACATCTGGAAAACAATTTAATGAACCTTCAACAAAGGACTAATACCTAAACAGTGGTTGACATGGCATACAAAACAGCCATTTAAAAGAATTATGATCCATGTGTTTTCGACACAAATCCCAATAAACACTTCCTAGCAGCAGTATATGCAATCTGCTTTCTGCCCTTCTAGAGTACTAGTCCACAAAGAGAACCAAGAAGTCAAGCAGACAAGCAAGTCAACTGAGAACTGACAGGAACATTTCATGGAAACAGGCAGAGTAAGAGGAAAAACTTGTTTTAGATTATCCAAAAAGGACCCTCCTAACAGAGAATCAGCATACAATGGAATCGTAACTATAAAGGAGCTTAGTGTGTTCTAGAAATAGAAGGGCCCAGGAGGGAGAAGACCAGTTAGGGTGGAAGGCAAGGCCATTGCTGGGCTGGGCCTTCTGTGACACAGCCTAGAAATTCGGTGGCTTTGGTACTATGAAGGAAGATAGTGAATTGGGCTGGGCTTTCAGAGGACAGTTCTTAAACTCAAAGATACGCAGGACAAACATAGTACATCCAGCAGCAGCACATTCCATATGGCCTGCCAGCTTCTGAAGGTAAGGAGAGCGCCTGTGCAGACAGTTTAAAAGCTCAGCAGCCCTATCACGAGCTGGGGGGATGGGGGCTGCTACTTAACACTTTATGTTCTTAAGAACATGGTTAAGATTTACCATAGGATTATGATTCCGTTCTCCATAACACTTTCATGGTTTAAAACCAAAATCTGCCATGCTTAAAAGTTTTTTTAATTATGCAACAATTGTCAAGGCATTAAATGTTATCAAAACAAATGAGCAACAAGGTATGGTGGTACATACCTGTATGTACAGGAGGTTGAGGCAGGAGAATGGTGAAGTCAAAGCCAGACCATGTCTCAAAAGTCTAAAATAAGTCAAAAAAAATTCCTAAATCTACTTAAATCTTAGAACAAAGTTCAGAATCTGTGACAATGCTTCAATGCTTCATCATACCTGCCCAAGGCCAGCACCAAGCCCAGTCCATTCCACCTAACCTGCAGTCTCACCCAAAACCCAGGCTCCCCCAACCTTTGTCCAGACTGTTGGCTAAGCTCAGAGAAAAATTCTCTTCTGTTTCATCAAGTGATTGCTTACCAAGACTGGCCACCAGTGTAGATGTAACTGTCTTACTAAATAAGAAACACAAAGCCAATACAGAGATGAAAGCCCAAGAGGTCAGAGCTAAAAACCTTACCCTTCACTGTTGCTGTTGTCCTACCTCTCTGAAAAAGACCTACTTCCTGTGTGTTTGTGCTTTTTATTGACTTTCTATTCTGCCTTCTCATTGGTTGTAAACCCAACCACATGACCTCATCGTCACTGCCTGTATGTACAGACCTCCAGGTCTTCTATGGTTGGCATTGAGATTAAAGGCGTGTGTCTCCATGCTGGCTGTATCCTTGAACACACAGAGATCTATCTGCCTGTCATGTGATCAGGATTAAAGGTGTGCACCACCACCACCTCCTGGCTTCTGCTATGGCTTGCTCTTAGCTCTGACCCCCAGGCAACTTTATTTATTAACATACAAATAAAATCACATTTCAGTACAAATAAAATATCACCATACACTAGCAAGGCCCTGAAAACACAGAGGGAAGGCAGGCACCATCCAAGTTCTCATGGAACTTGCAGGCTAGAAGAGCAGCCAGATCTTAGATATGATACACAGTAACTAACGAACAATGTTGTGATGTGTATTCCACAGAAGTAATAAACAGGAAGTGTGATGGTGGGATGTGTAACTCAATCCCAGATGATACCTAGAAGCCTTCTCAGATGCTTCTGAACAGAGTACTAACAAATGACAGCAGAGGGGAACACCAACTGCTGGCGCCTCAGAGAAACCAAGAGAATCCCAGGCCTTGTTAAAACCACTCAACAAGGGCTGGAGAGACGGCTCAGCAGTTAAGAGTACTTGCTGATCTGCTGGGCAGTGGTGGTGCACTCCTTTAATCCCAGCACTAAAGAGGCAGAGGCAGGAGGATCTCTGTGAGTTCGAGCCCAGTCTGGTCTATAGAGCAAGTTCCAGGACAGGCTCCAAAAGCTACACAGAGAAACCCTGTCTCAGGAGGAAAAAAAAGAGTACTTTCTGATCTTCCAGATGACCGGAGTCCCATTTCCAGCACCCATGCAGTGGCTTACAACCATTTGTAAATTTAGCTCCAAGGGGCCGGATGCTCTCTTCTGGCCCCACAGGTACCAGGCATGCATGGTGGCACATGGGTATACATGCAAAACACCCATATACATAAAATGAAAATTAAAAAAAGAAAGAAAACTCAACTTTCGCCTAGGAGCAAGGAAATGGATGACCTC